TTACTTAGTGATCGCGGATTTAGATGATTAAACCTCTTCTGCTGATACCTTAATCTGGATGGTTTCCTTACACGGAGTGGGTAGCCAAGACGATCTCGAAACGTCTCGCCTCTGCAGTAAGTTCATTACCACAACTTAGCGAATAGCCGCAGCAGGCTACAAAAGCTCAGGAACTACGAAAAGGAAGTAAATCCAAGGCCTTGATTAAAGCATGATACTGGAATATTCTGAAAAATATAGGACTTAATCGTAGTATTTCACAGACTTTCTGTATTTAGCATTCGAATTAGTAAATCGCCGTCCACGACAACGATACAAAGGATTCATGGAAATTGCAGGAGTAAAGAAGCCCTTGATTAGGCTGGCCACTTGTGCCCTCGCGAAAGGAATAGACGAGAGAACCAAGCATACTGACCCTTTAATGATCTCCTCCTCGGCAATTTCGCTCCTAGCTTCCGATTTGGCTGCTCGTGAGACGTTCTTGGCCACGCGGGCCTTCACCCATTCCCCAGCCGTGATGCCCGCTGCGCTGCCATCGGTGGCCTTGTTGTACCCTAGGCGCTCCAGTACACCGCTAACCACCGGCTTCAGCTCGAGGCTGTCTTCCGGTCTCACGAAATAGAGCACCCCAAGGCGGTCTACCTCGGCTTGGTCGGGCGGAGGCGCAACAACGCGGTGGATGCTGCTCTTAAGGAACCCGTTGGTGAGAAACTCGAGCGAGTCCGCGAGGTTGACGGTAATGCTTCCCGGATACGGCTTGACCCATTTCCACTCCTCTTCAGGTGTGCGCACCTGTAGTGCGGCGACGGGTTGTCGAAATAATAGAGTCAAGGACCCGAAGTCGGTGTGGCCCTTGACCCAGACGTTCTCCAAGGCCTGAATGAGACGTCAGTTCCGTGACCAAGGCTTCAACTGGGTTTACTCGGGAATCGTCACCTGGTTTTGCTCGGTTGTACGGTGGTGGTACTTCATGTACCGCAAGTGGCAGTCACTTCGAACGTCATAGCGATGTCGCTGTAGGAAGAAATCCCCCGGGAGTTCTAGAATAATGGCGAAAAGCACAAGGAGTTTACCCACGATGTGGTCATGGATGTACCTTGCGAAAGACTCGATATTGGGTCGGTTCTGGTTGATCACATCTGGGTGTGTCCTCTCAAGTTCCGGAATGAACTTTGGGATATTATAGATCTCTGTGTTGTCGAAGATGCCCGGGCGCACTTCTCGCAGGCCAAGGGGTTTATATCCGTTGTACCCGCCATTCTCCAGGTCTGCGCGGTACTTCAGCTTCTCCTCCGTCGGCAACTGGAATACTTCCTTGCCGATAGCAAACTGTTCATCTACTTCTTCTTGTGTTAGGCCAAAGTTGATGATGTAGAAAAACCCTAGAAGCCGGTGTCAGCCCTCATCATACATCGCTTGCGGGGCGAGTCGCGACTAGATTTTACCAATCTTCTGTATGGCGTCGAAGAGTTGCGTTGCAAGTTTTTGCTTGCCGCCGGGCTGGTCGAACTGGGAGAGATCCAAAGTCACGAGATCAGCCCAGTCAACTAATCAATCACTAGTTAGTTAAGCAGGGCTCAATGGCATGTAGCGGCCTGGGTGTTTCGAGGGCTCTCACGCTCGTACTTGGTTTCCGGAATTTGATGGTAAGTGGGCAGCCCTGCGGCGTTTGAGGTGCCTTCTACTGCTGTGGCCATTGTGCAATTGTACTCAAGTCTTCGAACTAAAGCTCTTCTTCTCCTCAAAACATTGATTCTCTAGCTGCACGGGCCCCGTCGTTATCGTGATGGCGCCCCCCTGCATTTAATATCCGTGGGGCTTGCACCGGACGCAGCTACCGGCGATGACGTGATGAGGGGGGATGCACCGTAACTCGTTAGTATCCCGACGTCTACCCGACTTGAGGACCTGGCCGCATTTCGCAATCCTCTCCCGGATGACGAACAAGCTGGGGCGCGAATCAGCTGTCGCTCTGCGGTGAGGATCCCTATAAAGCTTGAAATCAAATGGGGTTGCATTCTCTCAGCGTCGTTCTAAGTATGATTAGAATCATGTTTTCCGATTTAGATCCCACATACTGCCGCGTATGCCAGCCTATATACCATGCTTGTTACTTGTACTAGAGCTACTTGAAGAGTCTGGGCGCAAAAAAATGCGCTTTCGTTTCTCTATGGGCCCGTATTTTAAGACTTTATCGTGCTTTTAATAGATATGGTATTACTTAGAGCGGAGCACGCCCCAAATTGCCATGCCATTCTATGAAGTATTATTATATTTGGCTCCCTGTCCAATTCAACCTTTTTTTGTTTTGTTCTTTTTTGTTTTTTTGACTAACCGGTGTAAGCGCTGGGAATCCATATTGGTTTTCATATTGAGCCAGCCACTATGTCACTGGTAGGGAAAGTCGTGCCGGATTCGACGTCTGTCGAGGCGAGCTCAAGCTCTTCGAGATCCGGCGAAGGCTTTTACCGTGCAGCTCGTGGAGAGGTAGCTGATGTACGCGGTGATCAAATGATCGAAGGCTTCGATGCTGAACGTATGCGAGCTCGTACAGCTCTCACTGCAGCAGAGGAAAGAAAGTTGATACGACGCATCGACTGGCATCTTATGCCCCTGTGTTCGCTCATGTTCCTATTTAAGAACTTGGATGTGGACAATGTCAGTTCTTTCTTATCATTCCATACAGTAACCATTCACTAACATACCCGGGAAGGTTTCAAATGCTCGGATTATGAATCAAGGGACTCCTCAAAACATCTTAACCCAACTGAATATGACTTCGGATGAGTTTTCGTTGGTTACTGTGCTATACTACGTAAGACTCACGCTGCCAAGTTATATTAACCCTTCCGGTAAACTAACTCAGAGACCCTCCAGGTTCCCTATATCATTGGCGAGGCGCCTTCAAATTTGTTGCTGAAATGGTTCTCACCCTCACGGTGGCAGTCGAGAATCATGGTCACGTGGGGCATTGTGCTCGCTCTTCATGTTCCAGTAACCAATAAGGAAGGCCTCTACGCTACCCGGTTCTTTTTAGGCCTGGCAGAAGCCGGTAAGTTGCGGCGATATCGGGCAAGCAACACAAGCAGGCTGACATTCGACTTTGCCTAGGCATGTTTCCTGGTGTTATTCTACAGATGACATATTGGTATAGGCCTGATGAAATGTCTCTTCGTTTGTTATACTTCTGTACGTGGAGTCGCCAAAATAACCAGCAAGTCGTCTACTTACATGACCCGTAGACATATGTGGCAATCTCTCTGGGATTTTTAGTGGCCTATTGGCATTTGGCTTTGATACCGTCTCTGGGGCGGGTGGGCTGTCAGGTTGGCAGTGGTATGAGACTTATGTCCTATTTTGACGTCTCGGGTTACTAATAATTCCAAAAGGCTATTCATTGTCGAGGCGATTGGGACGATCTTAGTTGGCATTGCTATATGGTTTCTATTGCCGGATTGTAAGTCTGTCTCCTCGTGCCAACGTAAATCAGCTGACAGTAGGGCCTAATCTAGTCCCTGAAACGGCGTCGTGGTTGACGGATAAGGAGAAGGCCTTTATTCAGGCTCGTCTGCCTGAAAATGCCCCAAGAGGCACAGAAGAGGACTTTAACGGCGGCGAAATTTGGGCTTCGCTCAAGGACAAGCGCTTGTGGCTCTTCACTCTAATATGGGCGTTATTCACCGTGGGCACGTCGGGGGTACGCTTCTACCAGCCCACTGTCATAGCCAACCTAGGTTTCACGTAAGCATTCGGGCTATGTAATCCCTTGAAGTGGCCTTTGGGCATTAGCTAACGTAACACATAGGACTATTGCCCAAGCTCAGCTCCTAAATTTGCCCATCTCGATCGTTGGCTTGCTCGTGATCTTTGTAACAGGTTATTTTGCGGACAATGGAAGGCTACCACGCCCGCTATATCCACTAACATTCCTTATTATCATCATTGCATCCTACTCTGTACTCGTTGTATTCCCAAGCAATGGTGCTGTATACGCCGCCACTCTCATAGGCAATGCCGTAACAGCCGCCTGGTATCCGATGATGTGGCCATGGCGCGTGCAAACGACAAGCCGCGCTACAGGGTCCGCGTTCTCCATTGGGTTTGTGAACAGTTATGGACAGATTGGTGGCGCCATTGGGCCTCAAAGTAGGCAAACTCAACCTCCCCATCAGCTCCCGCCGACCTGTTTTCTGTACATCTTGCTTAGGTGACAGGTCTTATCGGGGCCCTGCCAATTGACGACATGACTAATTGCTGTTCAATAGTATTTCGAAGCGCTTATGCGCCTAAATACACGGTGTCCTTTGGCGTTGCTGCCGGTCTTGTCGGTGCAGTAAGTGATTCACAGCATTATTCCCCCGGATTCGTCACTAGGTTTCAGAGCATCGAGGTTCGTCCTCGTGCCCTCTTGTCGCTATGGCCTAAACTAGGGCCCTCCACACTTCCTTGTAGACCTTGCTGAAAGTGGCAATTGCTGACTCCAAGCAGTGCGCCATCACGACTGTAGTCACATGGTGGGTGACGAGGCAGACAGAAAGCGACACACGTAAATTGAAGCGGGCACGGGTTGCGGCGGGTAAACGTAATGAGGCCATTCTGAACGATGTTGTGGATAACGACTTGAAAGGCGACCGTTCATAGGGTTACCGGAGTCCCGATACACAGCGGCCAGGACTTTGGCGTCTCTACCATCACTATCTAGCCTTTCGTCCGGAAGTACCTGAACAGGAAGTTTAAGTCTTAATCTTCCCGATCAGTCAAGTGTGCACCGATGAGTTGGTCGCCGAAGTTCAAATAACTACTTCCAGGGGGCATAGGGGTGTTCTCGTCTAAGTCAAATCAAGCATGACCAAACCGATGCAGTAACCCGTCCAACTTTGACCGCCCGAAGTTCGTAGACCACAGATACTACTGCTCTCCCCGTCTCCCGTACTCCCCATCATAAAAAGAAAAGAAAAGAGAAGAAATTTGGTCCCAGAGTCAGTGTCAAAAAGTAATATTGTCCTGAGTGAGGCTCGAACTCACGACCTCTGGATTTCCTAGTGTTTAACTAGATCATATTCAACAATATGAGACCAACGCGCTAGCCAACTGCGCCATCAAGACTTATACCTCGATTGTACCATGACCAATTCTCTGAGGGCTGACGACGGATTTCCAAACATGCCTTACCACGCGGCTCGTTCTTTACGACTCTTTCAGACCGAATTTAGGCATTTAGGTGACAGCAGAATTCACGGTGACATTGCTCAGTCCTCGTAGGCTCCCAACTAAGGCTTTTGACAAACTGATCGCCGAAAAGGAAATTTTTAACCTTTAAAAAAAAACAAATAAGTTTCATTTTAAACGATTTGACATCTCAGATCCGGTAAATGAAACTTGTAGTAATGTTACCTAAAAACACTCTTCAGATTTTTAGATATCCACGCCGAAGAATGTTGATACGGATAGCCAATTCTTTTCCTCTATAAGTTTTCTTGTTTTAGCAGATCGAGCTGGCCGGACCATCCCTCCCATTTTCGGCAACCGTGAAACTTATACAGATGTTGCCACAGGTGGTCTTTGCGAAGGAAGGTCCGGTCTTCAACGGGACGTTGACTGCACGACTCGAATTCATGGGACTGGAAATGCCCTTCCGTAGGCGACGGATGGCCACAGAGGGCACACTCGGGCTGAGTCTGGCTAAATCGCCAGACACTGCTCGGCTGTTCAACTGGCAGAGGGTTAGCGCAAACCCACCGAGTATGTCCGGTACGATGGATAGAGGCTACATGACGGCGCATGTCTGACTTCTTATTGAACCTGCGCTTGCAGACCATGCATGAAAACAGGCCAGCTGTGTGACGCCTTGCAGTCGTGGCACTTTGGCCCTCCGCACTGTGTGCCGACGAAGAGAAAGCCGACCGGCTATCATAGGAGCCAAACGAGTAACACGAAGATGCGGAATCGGAGTTTTGGTGGAAGGAGTGGTCGGAGAAATCGAAAGCTAGGTCTTCGCCGGTTGAAGAGGGATAGCTATTCCTGCCCGTCGAGCGGACGGGGTCGAGGTCTCCAGCTTTGTCTAGACTTTCGGAAATAGCACTTTCGATAGCGGCTGCTGAAGCTGGCTCGTCATCTGGGGGTGAATGCCGCCAACGTTCTATCGGAGACATGTCCGATAGTGGGGGTGAAGGCATGGGCGAGCCCTGGCGAAAGACTTTCCTTGATGTGGATCTAGAAGACAGCCGTTGGCGGCGTCTGGCATTGGTGAACCAGTCAATCACTTGTGTCTTGCTAAGACCCGACTGCTCAACAAGCTGGGCTTTCTCTTCCTCAGAAGGGTACGGATGATCAAGATGGGTCGAGAGCCAGTTCCTAAGTGGTTGGTTCTTGCGGACAGACCGGGAATGCGATCTCTTGTTCGGCGCCGGGCAGGTAAGAGCTCGCGAGGCCTCCAACTGGGGAAGAGAATGCAACACCGGGTCGAACTCTACATCGGGTATGCCGTGTAGGCGGCCAAAAACTGGTTGCGGGGTCTCGAAGTCACAAGCAGGCCGTTTCCCTTGCTCGGCCAAGCTGCAGTCCTGGAAAAGGGCCACACAACTGGAGCAAGACCTAACGGGGTTGGGGTTGTGTGAAGTGGTTTGAAGAACAAAACACCGAAGGCGGTAGCGACGGCAATGAGAACACGGCGCCGGTGGCTGCTCCACGCCGTTCTTAATATGGACTTGTTCTAAATTAATGGCGGCACAGTCATCTCCCAGAGCTTGTTCGGGCCGACCGCCGGAAGACGGCAAAGGGTCAAGCGCCGGCTGTGCAGGCGAGACCAGGCCCGGTGCGGCCGATGCGGGTGGTTCGGAGTAAAAATCCCACTCGGTGTTGCTGTGCGGCGAATTCGAGAGATCCAACAGGGATGGGTCTATCGTTTCTTCGAACGTCAAGGTCGAGGCTAGGAAAACACCATCACCTTGCTCAGCCATGGCAGCAGCGAGAAAGAACTGAAAACTTGGATAGTTTGGTTGTTTAACGCGTATATGTGGAAGAAGAATAACTCAATATATATATATATATGCCTTAATATGAAATGTTAACTATGGGTAGATATCTACGTGCTACACCATTATTCAGTCTCTTTGGCTTCAGTTGGCTTGCTTGATACCTATCTAACCTAACCTAGGTACCTAAGGTACTACATAAGTCCCCGGTCCCAACATCTGTTCACAGAGGGCGGCTGGGTGGAGTGGAGCGCGAAAGATTATGTACCTAATAAGGTAACGCTTATGTGCACAGAAACTGCTGGCTAGACCACGCTAACAGCCCTAACTAACCTCCTAAGACCTTCTGCCTATAAGATCCTAGGTACGGTTGGTAGGTACCTCTCGACTTTAATGTTGTTGACCTCAGGCACAATATCCTCTCGCAATAGTTGATAACGTGTCCGCAACGCATGTTACAGAATCTGAGTAGACATATTCCTGTTTGGCGTGAAGGCCTTCGCCTCGAGGGCCCCAAATCAAAGTTGCGATACCCTCCGCGGATAAAAGTGCCGAATCTGCCCAGAATGGCCCTCCGCGCAACACTGGCTGTTCTCCGAGACTTTGGCCGACTGCACCCACGGTGGCTAGGACGAAGGGATGGTCCCTTGAAATGGAGAAAGGGGGCCGGCTGAAAGTGATTCGTACGTCAAAATCGAAGTCTGTGTCGTGATCCTTTAGCTTCGCTAGTATGGCTCTAACCTCCTGCTCTACTGTCTCCGGGGTTTCGCCGGCAACCGTACGCCGTTCTATTGAGACCGAGCAGAGGGCTGGGTACGACGAAACTTCCTCGCCGCCTGTGATTAGCGAAGCATGGACACTAGGCGGCCCGACTGGAGAGTCAGGCACCTTGTTTTTAAGCCCTGTGGCGTACTTATCAAGCTCTACTAGGAAGTATCCAGCCTTGATAATAGCGTCAACCCCAAGGTCTGGGCGCGAGCCATGAGCCGCGCGTCCAAATACATCGACTTCAAGCCATACGAAGCCTTTGTGTGCATGGATGATTTCGAGATTAGTCGGCTCAGAAACGATGGCTGCGTCTGCCCGCCAGCCGGCTTGCAACACGTGCTCGGTGCCCATACTTTTGGCTTCTTCATCGGCTACCCCTGCAAAGATTACATCTCCCGAGAGCCCAAGACCTTGGACGCTCGCCAAAGCAACGAGTGCTGCTGCTACACCGCCCTTCATGTCAGCAGAACCACGGCCATATAGCTTCCCGTCTTTAATGTGCCCACTCAGTGGATCGCCATCGTACCCGCTGAGCGTGACGGTATCGATATGCCCATTAAACATGAGACTCTTACCAACTCCCTTGCCTCGTACTACTCCTATGACCGAGGGGCGACCTCGAACCGGCTCGATCCAGTGGCTTTCGATATCTCGGTGCTCGAGCCAAGCTTTGATGTATCGAGCAATTGCAGTCTCCCCGCCGCCTAGGGCCGGAACTAAAGTTGAATTCACTGAGTCGATCTGGACCAGAGTCTGGGTCAGAGAAACGGCATCGTCAGTATCAACGCTTAGAGGCATCACATAGTCTCGAGCGCCTTCGGTGCTCAACAGAAGAACCAAAGAATTCGAGTTTAGTCCTAAGGTTGCTTTTTCCGATTCGCTCAGGCGGCGGAGAGCTGCCAGAGTAGCCGCGCCGCAGGGTGCTGAAGAGATACCGTGATTTTTTAGATGGACAGATGCTTGATGGGCCTCATAGTCAGAAACGGTTAAAGCCGCATCGACGCCCTCTTGAAGAATCGGCCAGGCAATTGATGAAACAGTGCCACAGTCTAGGCCTGCCATGACTGTAGGGCTCGAATGCTCCACTACTATCTCTCCTCTACGCAGGCTCTTATAAAAGCATGCTGCTGTATCTGGTTCAACCGTCAGAACGGCTGTGGGCGCCTCCTTTCCCTTATAATGCGAAACTACTGCCTGGGCAAGAGAACCCACTCCAACAGGTGCTATCACTAGATCGATGCTCTCTTCCCCCATTTGCTCGTCAATTTCGAGCATCATAGTCGCATATCCCTCAACAATCCACTATGCCCACATTGATTAGAATCTACCGTGGTAATTAAAGATAAGAAGGGACTAATTGGAAGCAGCAAACCTTGGGGATGTCCTGATAGTCGTTAAAGGCGAAGTCTTGAATCAGTATGCCTCCCTTCCGCTCTGCGCTCTCCTGCGCTTCTGAGACAGCACTATCGTAGCTACCACCTGATACTATAACCTCAGCACCTTCAGAGCGAATGAGTTCAATTGTGCTCAGATGCATGCTTTCTGGGACCCATATCTCAACGGGAATGGACAAGATAGTGCCCATACGAGCGACTGCACGACCATGATTACCATCCGTAGCAGCGTGTAGACTGATCGGACGACTGGCCACAGCTTGCTTGAGCGCCTCGATGCTTATACTCAAAGGGAGCCCCAACACCTGCGTGATCGCTTTAAAAGAACCCCAAGAAGCGCCCAAGATCTTGAAGGACGGCAGTCCAAGTCTTTTACTCTCATCCTTGACGCGGACAGCTCTCACCCCTATCTCCTCGGCAACGTCGTCTAAGTTTATCAAAGGAGTGCGACCAAAGCCCGGTAGTTGTTGGTGAAAATGTGCAACCGATTCTGGTGAGTTGAACTTGGCTAGACGAGGTTGGACATTTGCATTGAATAGGACTGGACGGCGTTTGCTGCTCATGGTGTCACTAGTTGGAGGAGCTGTAGAGGTAGAAGAAAAGGAGCTTGGAGTCGGCGTTTCGTGCTTCAACACAATTCAACACAAGCGTGGATGTGTGTACTATCTAACCTTTGGTGCCTTGTTATTATTTATAATCTAAGTCTGGTACCGCTTCTCGGACTTAGAATATCCGCGGCGCCCTCTGTTGACAGGACATATGGCGTCTTCACGAATCTAGTCTACATCGGAGGTCCGCGAGAAATTTCCTTGACGTAACAAGCTACTAAGAAGACTCATGCCAACCTGCCCCGTAACCATAACATGAGTCAAAATACACGAGACTTTGGAGCGCTACCATCTATAGTTGTTCTACAACCAACGCGTTGGGCGAATATCTGATATGTTCGCCAGCGGGACAGATGGGGATG